AGAACGACGAGGTCGTAGACCGAGTCGTTCTAATCATAGGAGTTTTGTAGTTATGTATAAGCGCGCGTGTGATGTACAACGCTTTATCTACAAAGCGAAAAATAAGAATGTTTTTTCAATTATTTTCGTTTATTAGTAGTAGTCTACCTACATTTTACCTTTACAGATTTAACGTTGACAATTGTCAATTTACCAAAAATAGTTGTGTTATGGATTCATAACCTAGTCTATAACACCACTAGTTGTGTTATGAATTCATAACCTTGTCCATAACACCACTAGTTGTGTTATGAGTCTCATGACATAACTCAAATACTAAAAAAATGGTTATGTAAATACGTCATAACCAAACGCTTGTAGATAAATACAAGTATTTTGTTTTTTATCTGTTTAGCTTTGTTAATTGTAGTGTTGATACCAATGACATCAAAACACAGATAGACCGAACAATAAACAAAATTTTCGTATGACAACATCTCTCTGTCTCTTTTGGGTCTTTGTGCTATCCCCACCACTGAGAATGCCAAATTTTGTCTTGAATCCCTAAATAATATATTTTTCTACTCTAATTAACATTTTCAATTTTATTTCTGAACTCAATTTGGCAACAGCAGATTATAGCAAAACACCGCCCAGAAGCGGCTTGTTGAATGGCCGGCAGGTGTTGATTGTAGTAGCTAGCTATCTTTATTGCAAACCAAACAGGGATTATTCATTAGCGTTAAACAAGAAACGACTAACACGATATTGGTACTCCCAGAATAAAGGGCTCGTATCGAATATTTTCAGTTTATTTGTCAATTTGTTATTTTATTTATTCATCCAATTAAATTTCGAGATATATTCACGTGTGGGAGGGGATTTTTACACCATTTTGAGCAATGATGTCTCCCTACCCCGACCCCGCGAGCAACTCACCTCCCCTGGCCCATGGGTGGTCTTGTCAACACAACAAATAATAGTTTATGAATGGGATGATCCGTCTATCTGTGTTTTGATGTCATTGGTTGATACATCCATTGTGGTTTTTACTGTAGGTTTTTAGCGAGGTTTTTAGTGCATACTATAAACCAAGGTATAAACATAATCATTATCATGTAAAAGTTGAGGTAAAAGTAAAGTGGCAAATCCATTATTAAATAAATTAATAATAAAGAGTTGTTCTTTTCTATACATACATCATGAATTTTTAGCCAGCAAAAATACTGGCAACTTTCATTGATTTTACCTCGGACTTTACAGTTATTTTCTACCTTCAACCAACTGGATTATAACAGAATATCGAAACCACTGGAAGAGGCCTTGCCCCTCGTCTTGGTCCAACAACTGATGCAAGAAGAGGCTGAATAATGATAATGATGATAACTGAAGAGCTGCATAAATATTCTTCCTTATTGGGATAAAGAGCTCACAGACTGCTCTTGATCTTTTCATTATGACTATAACACTAAAAAGTTAATGATTTTTCAAAAATTTCTGCTTCAGCCCGATCATTCACCTCCTAAATCCTTTTGATTCCATTCACATCAAGACAATGATCTTGAGGTTAACCAAAAAAAAAACAATTAAGCATGCAAATTTGATGGGTAGGGGGCTGGAATTTCAGAACTATACAGAAAAATACACTTTTCCACTTCCACATACCTGCATACTTGAGGCTTTCTTGATTACTGCAGCCTAACTGAATCACATAACGGACAAAATTTAAAAAGTTGAAAACTTCCAAGTTTATTTTGTATTATCTATAGTAGGCTAGGAAACTAAGGTTGAACCCTAGCAAACTTGACAGAACTTCTGTTTATTTTCTGGTAGTACAGTAGACTCGCGATATAGTGAACATGCTGTATAGTGAACTACTCTAAATAGTGAACAGGCAATTTTTTGTTAATGCATTCTGTACAGTGAACAAAGTGGTTCTCGAAATAATGAACCCAACACGTCGATACAGGAAAACGATTTTAAACGTTTTGTTTACTTTTCTGTAATCGGATCACAGCAGTTTCTTGCGAATTGTGATTGCATCAGGTCGTTTCGCGAGTGAAATATGGCAAAAAATAGAAAACATTTAAGCCTAAATGATAAAGCCAAAATATTAGAAGACTTAAAGAAAGGTGTCGGAGTGACTGTTTTATCCAAAGAATATGGTGTTGCTAAATCAACTATATGCGCTATTCGAAACAGAAGGGTTAACATTTTGAAAAGGGTCAACAATACTTTTAGCGGACCAGGAAAAATGAAAACCTTAAGACACTCAGAGTGTCCACGAATGGAAAAGGCTCTGTATAGGTGGTTTCTCAAACAAAGAGAGAAGAATCTTCCCGTGACCGGTTTAATGATCCAAGAGAAGGCTAAGCTGCTCCACAATGATTACAAAGAATCTCCTTCTTTCCATGCAAGCAGCGGCTGGTTGCAAAAATATAAACGGCGATTTGGAATACGTTACTTAAAGATTTCAGGCGAAAAATTATCATCACAGCCTGAGCTTGTTGAGCCTTTCAAAAGAAATCTAGAAGCAAAAATTAAAGATCTTCAACTGTCGAAAGATCAGATTTACAACGCCGACGAAACTGGCCTATATTGGAAGCTTCTTCCTGGAAAAACATATGTAGCTCGCGAGGAGAAAACAGCTCCAGGACGAAAAACCGAAAAACAAAGAGTGACCTTTCTAGCATGCACAAACGCGGCAGGTACGCACAAATTAAAACCACTAGTGATTGGAAAGTCCAAAAATCCTCGATCATTTCGAAATTTCAACATACCTGTTCATTATCGAAATTCCAAAGCTGCTTGGATGACAGCAACAATTTTTGGAGAATGGTTTCACAAGATGTTTATTCCAGAGGTAAGTTTCGCCATTCGCAATAGGAAAACATTTTAAATTCTACCATTTTTACGAACAAAACGACATCATCTGTGTAATTTCGAATCCTATAAATTTGTTTTTGACGCGATTACATATTTCCCTTTCTTGCTGTTCCTGCTTGTGATTTAAGGTTTTGTTTTAACTTGTTTCAGGTGACAAAGTTCCTACGTAGACAAAATCTGCCAGTTAAAGCCGTCCTTTTGTTAGACAACGCATCAAGTCATCCACCCCCTGAAGAACTAAGAAGTGATGATGGTTCCATTTTTACTCTTTACATGCCACCTAACGTTACTCCATTGATACAACCGATGGACCAAAATGCGATTCGTTTAACAAAACTTTTTTATCGCAAAAATTTGTTGTCGCAGATTATTGGTACCGATCAGGATATAGGAGAAACTCTGAAATCTCTTTCTTTAAAAGACGCTGTTGTACATTTGGCCCTAGCATGGGAAAATTTAAAGCCTGAAGTCATAGAAAAATGTTGGCACAATCTACTTTCGCCGTTAGCCAACGAAGATGATGATGATGAGGATGAAATTCCTTTAAGTGTTCTACGAACTCAAATAATGAATGGGGAAATCAATAGAGTAAGATCAGAAATTGTCGATTTACTGCAAGCTGTCAATCCCGAAGTGAACATTCGCACCATGGATGTAGACGACTGGAATAACGATATTTTGCCGGATAAAGAAAATAAAGACCACAGCGAAAGCGATGAAAATGGTCAAGATCAAGAACGGGACGAAGTTCAGGTAATGAGAGAACGTGTGACAACTGAAATTGCGATGAAGTCAATTAACAACGTAATTCAATGGGCTGAAGAAAATGAAGTAGAATACTCCAGTTTACTCGTTTTACAAAACTTAAGAAATGAAATGGTCCAAAAAGGGTTCATGAAACCAAAAACACAAACAAAAATTACATCGTTTTTCGATAAAAAAAAAGAATAAACCACCTTTTAATTAGTACATTATACTTATAACGTTTTTTTCATTGATAATAAAGTTGGTTTTGTAATAACAGCCGTTGTTTTAGTAAATTTTAGAAATATTCCATATAGTGAACAAATCGATCTAGTGAACTGGCTTTGCATTAATTAGTTCACTATATCGAGAGTCTACTGTACAAGTATGGGTCTAACTTTTTTCAACAATATTTCTCCCTGGAACATTGCCTTTCATCCCCATAAAGGTCGTTTTTTTTTTTGTTTTCTGGAAATGTAGCGCTTTAGCTACATTTTACATAAAAATACCTCAATACAAAATCAAAGAGGACTAAATACTCTATAATTTATCCAACAATAGCATAGTCCGAGGCATAGTCTTACCCTTTAGTCAGAGTAGCCCTCCAAAGTTGAGTGTCCTCGTAAAAAGATGTTTTGGGATTTATTTATTTTCTTGACTACACAGTGAAGCAAATTAATCACAAACCATGCAGCGATTATAACTACTGATAAATGATGATCTGATTTTTTGGTATGGTTTATTTGGAAATAGTTACCCCCGATATACAGTCTATACAGAGTGTTGAAATCGAGGTTGAAATTTAACCCACCCGAAAATAAAATTGTTTCCTGGCCTATACTTAAATTGAAAAAGTATGATCTATGGTTTGGATAAGATTAAGGAACATCCAAAAATAGCTTGCTTGAAATTTATTTCTAGTTAAAATAGGAAAAAACCTGCCATAGTCAGCTTTTTCTATGTAAACAAGTAATTATACCGCCTGCAGTAAACAAGCATCAAATTTGTAGCTGACCTTGCCATTCTCTCAGTACCTAGCAAATTTAATTGAAGTTAACATTATCAACTTCACAACTGAAAGACTGATTTCAATGACCAAGCCTCCAATAAAGCTCATTTTGAAAAAAATATTAATCTGAAAAAGTGTAAAACAATAAAACGAATGTGTTATTCAATATTTCTAAAATATCAGGCAACTGCCAGGAGCTTTCCTTGGGCGATTCTTGAATAGCTAATATTTGTTAAAATTTTAATCGCATGTGAAATTCCATGAACCAGCCCCAAAAAGGGACTACTGCGTATAAAACAGCCCCAAAATTGAAAAAGCAAATATAACCTCACAAACAACTAGCAGATTTAATTCGAAGAAAAACATTACTAAATTCACTTACCACGATCAAACTTTTTGCCTTCTGGATCTATATCTTTAACATTGAAGATATCTTCGAATAAGATGCCTGCCATTGCGGAAAATATGGAAAATCCGTACGAAAACCCTAGAATATTTCCCGGCTGTTGAAAAAAGTATAAAAACAGAAATAAATGAAAAATACACCAACTACAAACAAGACAAGTGACAAGTCCTGTTGGTTGGCAGTTTTGACATTAGGCGTTTTCGGCAAGCTTTGGTTGATATACCATTTGGTTAACCAATTGGTGACCAATTGGTACCTGCAACGTCATAGTAATGACGTAAGATACCATTTTGTTCCGAATTCGTTTGGTAGGTCATGAGACAGGGGAAGAGACGAGCCTTAACCTAACTTTGTGTTGTTCTTCTAGTTTCGGGAGCAACTAGATATTGACTGCACTGACTAAAATCTACCTTTGTGTAACCTATTGGCTAACTCGGCGTTTTCTGTAAATTTAAAGCTTATTCCATAAACCATCCAGCAAAAAAGTTACCCCATCATATCTGTCCAAAGCCATCTTTCAAATGATCGTCAAACATTATTTGGCAGTCAAAACATACGAGAAAACAGGAAGTGAAGGCAAAAAAAACAAACATATTTGTTAAAAATTTCAAATTATTCAAATTCTAATGAACTTCCATTTATTTACATTTCCCAGAGCGGGACAAAACGAAAATAGACGTAGATAGCACTATACCAAATAGAAGAACCGTGCTGCTGACCACGGTATCCTATTTGACAGACCAAAAAGGATACCAAAGTTACGGTGACGACATCATTTTCGTATCCGAAATTAAAAGGTCAATTTCGGACGCTTTGGACGCTATATTAGTTGTATTCCTTTCAAGAGTTTGAAACACTCGAGCTACTCGCTCTGGTGTTTAGTAGCCCCCGATTTGCAGGGAACAGATGCGTGGTACGACCTAAGGGTACGACAAACACTTTCCGAAAGGAATAAGCGCGTGGAGCCCCGGAGCTGCTCCGGAGCTCCTCCTAGGTGTGAAAGGAATACAACTATTGCGGTGCGCGAACATAGTTGCCAAAAGAAGAAAACAAAAATTACTAGCGGGCTGTCAACATTAAAAACTCGCTATCCTTTTTGTTTGTATACTTTCTCTCTCTGAATGATGAAAGTAAATAGGTAGATATTTTATTATTTCTATTCTGCCCAATACAAGCTAAAATTGATGGCTTTTCTTTTCAAAAACATTCGTAATAGGCGGCAAATTTAAATTTTAAATGTAGTTTATTCAGTAACTTTTGTTTTTAATGTTGACAGTACCCTAGTAATTTTTTTTTTTCTACTTTTGGCAACGATGTTCGCGCACCGCAATATGGCGTCCAAACAAAAGGTCAATTGGTTGGTATGCATTTGACGATTTGACAGACCAAACAGGGTACCAAACGTACCAAAGCTTTCCGAAATCGCCTATTATGCAGGAAAGGTAAAAATCAATGTTGCCAAACGAACGGATTAAAATATCTCTGAAGGGGTACCAGCCAATACTACCAACCTAAAAAAGAAAAAAACGAAAACTATGTGATTATTTGCATCTGTTTATGTTTATCTTTTAAATTAAATTTCATAAAATACAAATACAATTAATTAAAGTAATAAGAAAAAAGAATCCATTTATCAAGTGACAATGGCCTCTCTACCACCAAGAAGAAATCCTACGCCTACTAGAATCTCAAAACAGAATCTCAGTCCTTTTCAAATATTATTGCAAATGGGTTTTCCAAAACACAGAGCGTGAGTTTGATTCATTTTATTCAAATTTTCTGTATTAACTTATATGTAAAACCTCTAGAGAAAAAGCACTGGCAGCTACAGGAAACCGTGGAGTCCAGCTAGCATCTGACTGGCTACTAGCCCATGTAAACGATCCTCTGTTAGACGATAATTCTCCTAGGGAATATATTTTATATGCCTGCCCTACGGGGCCTTTCTCAGAACAGCTACAGTCGTTTTGGTCGAAATCTCTCAGATTATGTGAATGGAATGGGGCACATAACTTTACACCTCACATTACTTTAGTTTCATTCTTCAAGGTAGGTAGTTTCTTACCTAAATTTTTAATTATTTTACCTATGAGCGTGCGAGTGCACTTTACCGCACGTATTTGCAAATGGAAAGTATCACTTTACCGCACACTATGCGGTAAAGTGCACTTTACCGCATAGTGTGCGGTAAAGTTAACTTTACAGCATAGTATGCGGTAAAGAAGAATACAAAGTGTGCGGTAAAGTGCACTTTAACGCATAGTGTGCGGTAAAGTAGAATTTGATATTTATAATAAAAAATCCTCTCTCTTTCAGAAAATGGATTTTTGATCATTTCTAAATCTTATCTAATTTCATTAATTAATCTGATTCATTAATTAATTTTATCAATGCCTTTTTTTGGAGATGTAGATGCTCATAGGTAAAATTTTGTACCTAACACATGCGGAAAGTGCCTTTACCGCACTTAACGGCTTGACCGAACGCCGCTTCGCGTCGTTTGGTCAACTGCCGGTAAAGTATCACTTTCCGCATTTGTTAGGTAAATAACTATAACGGAATGTCATACCTTAATTACAACTTTTCTGTCTAACATCATTGGTAATTGGTATTTTCTTAGACTGTATAAATTGCAAGTTTCTGTGGGTCTACGTTGGTCAAATTTATCTTGTGTATTATCTTGTTTGTGAAATAGTGATGCTTTCAACCTCGCTTTCAACTTTATAAAATGTGTGGTTCTTGGTGAACCTACAAAAACTTAAAACAAAACAAGTGGTATCCAATCAGAATTGTGTTGTAGAGGGTGATTGATGTAGCAGAATTAAATAATGATTTGGAAGTAACTTCACCTATTCCTGCCAATGGCCAGCTTACTTTGGAGGGTATTGCAATGTAATGGCCCCACTGATTACTGGAATACTTCAGAGGATTCTTGGTGGTCAGGCTGAACTTATTTCAAATAGACTGGAAGGTACCTACAAAGCCATTCTGGCTTCTAATAAGGAACTTATTGGATTTATGTCCAAATCGTATGTACCACTACCATCTTCAACAAAGAGGCCTGAACATTCTGCTCAGGGGCGTAGTCACCGGTGTTCCGCGTGTTCCATGGAACACGGGCCCGGTACCTCAAGGGGCCCGGTTCTAGATGTCAATATTATTTTTTCCCTAGTAGGTAAAAAAAAAAAATCTATTTTACACATTTGACTATGATTTGACGCTAATTTATACAGGGTGTCACGAAAGGTTTGTTACAAACTTCTAGAGATGGTTGATCTCGTAAAAATAAAGTTTTTTTCTTGATAAACATATGTCCAGAAATGCTTCGCTTTCCAGATACACGGTGTTAGACTTTTTTAAAAAAAGTCAATTTTTTTGTTAATTTTTAGAAATGCGTTGGACGAATTTAATGAAATTTTCACAGCTTGTTGACACCTTTATGGGGTATCTTTTGGACTTCTCAGAGTTGATCCAGTAATTTCAGGGGCGTGCCACAGGTTATGTCGGATGGTTTTATGCACGAAAAGACATCGTCCAGTAGATTTATTTTTAATTGAGATATATTTTTTGAATAAAACACTTGAAGAGTCAACTTTTTCGTCTCTTAATTTTTTTTCGTAAAATTTAAAAACCATTTTTGGCGAACCACGAACGTCACTGACTTACTTAAATAAAAAATAAATTACTTCAGAATTATCTGAAATTTTACTAGCTTATTTGTTGCCTAAAAATAGACAAGAAAAAACCAAAAACTTTTTTTAAAAACGTACACATTTTTAAAGCCGCGTCCACATTAGTAAAAATTTACGTTGTGCGTGGTATTCGACACAAATTTGTATGTGCGATGCAAATTTATGCGAGTGTGGACCTGTTCGCCGCATATAGACGCACGCAAAAATTTTCGCGACATTCAACGCACGCGATCCGCCGCTTGTCGGTTTTTTTCAAGACATCAAAGGGATTTTCGGCCCAACATCGTTCTAGTGTGGACGCATTTTTTCGTGAACGAAACAAATAACTAAAAACAAGCAACACAACACAAGCTTTGAGCAAGAACGCACGGCACACAACACAAATATTTATGTCGGTCAAGATGCCAAATTTGCGCCGCAATAATTTGTGGCGAATCCCGAATTCAACGCAACGTATTTATTTACTAATCTGAACGCGGCTTAAGAATTAATAAAAAAAATGACTTTATTTCATAAAGTCTAACACCCTGTATCTGGAAAGCGAAGCATTTCCGGACAACTGTTTACTAAAAAAAAAAATTATTTTCACGAGATCTATCATTCCTAGAAGTTTGTAACAAACCTTTCGTGACACCCTGTATAAACATAAAAAATACTCGAAAAAATATCTATATCTACGTAGGTAAAGTCTTCATTTCTTACATTCTTATGTAGATTTATACTTTTCGAGTTTACCACTTGTCGCGTATTGTACGGCCGAACCACTTCATAGTATTCCAGGATTGCCAAGTATGCCAACTCAAGATCCTGCAATCCCTGCATTGTGGTTTGTTGTGCTGCCCTCTTTAGGTGAGTTAAGCCTAGTACTCATAACAGCTCTTTTTTGACATTGCTTCGACAATTTGACGTTTTATGCGTGAAGCAAACGTCAAATTGTCTAAGCAATGTCAAAAAAGAGCGAATTTCGCGGTTATGAGTGCTAGGCTTTAAGCTTTAATTTGAAGGGCCGGTTTCTCAATAGCGAGTTACCTCCGGGTTGGTTTTAACTCCAGGGTAAGCGTAAGAAGTTGCAATGTTTACCCTGGAGTTATGCCTAACCCAGGGGTGACTTGCTATTGAGAAACCGGCCCTTAGGGTATTTATGGCATGACATTGCACATGAAATATGTCTAGAATTTTCCGCAGAATCAAAAAATGTCATGACATACAGAATCTACGATTTAAAAAAATAATAGTTATTTATTTTCTACTTTACTATTATAGATCCATAATACCTAGGAAACGAAATAAGTTAACACACCTATAACAACCTGATCCATAACGCCCGCTTTTGCGGGCGTTATGATCTATAACGCCCGCTTATAATACCCTAAGGTGTTTTTGTTGTTGTTGTTCTATTAATTTGCACTTTCCTAGGCAGCCACTAAATGTCTGACCGAAAATAAATTTCGGTCTAGCCAGGATTCGAACCCGGTCTACCATCAACGTTTCCCATGTAGTCCAGCGCGTTAACTCACAGGACCACCACCGTTGCCTTGCCTTATGAGATGTTTATAGATATATTAATTTATTTCGTTTCTATGTACAGGTCGCAGGTACAGGTACAGATCACAGGTACAGGTACATGTCAAAATACAAAACAATATTCTGTCACACAAGTTTGACTGATTTTGTTAATAATAAATTGATGAAAAAACATTGTGTTGAGTAGAAAATAAAGCATTGTATGCACCACGGGGATTTTAAGAGTATAATGCCCTTCAGGCGAAATATATCCCTCGGGCCATAGGCCCTCGGGCTAGTTTCGCCTTCGGGCATTATAATCTACATAATCCCCTTGGTACATAAATAGCTATTATGTATCAAGGGAATTATGCAGGTGTTAATACCCCAGGGCAACGTTTGTGTCCCGAGGGCCTCCGGCCCGAGGGACACCAATTGCCCGTGGGTATTAACTCCTGATAATTCCCGTGGTACATAGATAATTTTATATCCTACTGAATTTACTGTATTCTGTCTATTTTTATAAAGGAATAAGCCATAAATCAAAATTTCTATTTTTTGTCAAAGTGTTACCTATTCAAGGTAAAAGCGGGAGTTATGGAAATCCTTAACTCCCTTGGGAGTTATGATATCCTTAACTCCCTTCCTTAACTCCCTTGGGAGTTATGAAAATCCTTAACTCACTTGGGAGTTAAGACCCTGTTTATGATTATCGTAACCAAGGTATTATATGGTTTTAATAGTTCAGTAGGATATAAAGTTGTTAACGGTACGGTACAGCTGTTCTTGGAACCACCTGTAATAGGGCAGTGGATAGAGGTCCGAAAATTCGGATCTCTAGTGTTCATACTAAAGATCCGATAATTTTCGGATTTTCAATTTGTATATTAGGAGTCCGAAAATGCAGATCTTTAGTGGTAATATTGAAGATCCGAAAATAGATGTTTATTTCTAATTCTGTCGTAATTAAGGAAAATTATAACATTTCAATAAAATGGATAAAATGCTTGTATTTTTAAGGATTTATACTAGAAAAATGGATCCTATAATCCTTTTTATGTAGAATAGCTAATCAAGTTTCCTCAAAAATATTTGGTTGGTGCAATTTCAAACAGAAAAGTACAAAAAACAAAACTAAGTACCTTTTTTATTTTTTTAAAACATTACATAATTAAAAATAAATATTTCATTATTTCAAGGGTTGATAGGGGGAGGGGTGTGATTTAGTTCCTTCTGCACTGCATGCAAAACCAGGCTTTCTTACTAGAAGGCAGCTTTGTTACTGAACAGCACACTTTATGTTTACACCAAAGACATGAATCACACCGTAAGGAATCTTCATGTACCACTTTGTTACATATATCACAAATCCATTTTAGAATACTATTTTGTTTTTCTTCAATTCGTTTTTGTAATAAAACATAAGAATCCGGACAAAAATATGTTTCTATTTCTGCTAAAGATATTTCTCCTTCAAGAAGAAGCGGATCAATTTGTTGATGATGAGGAATGTTTTATTTCTCATTTTTAAAGTTTTTATGTAATGCTTTGCTTACCAAATCATCTATGTATTCATAACTGCATTAAGCATTATCTGGTGCCTCAGTTTAGGAACTTCATTTTTGAATAAAACACTTTTATTTTTCTTAGACCTTTTTAGTCCAATTGCAGTTAATTGATGTCCCTTTGGGTCTTCCTTTATGGGCAAGTTTTAAAGGAAATTTAATACTTTTTATTTTTTCTTCTAATTGGTTTTGTGCAGTAGTATTTGGTTCTTGGGCTAGTTCCATTAAAATGGTGTCGCAAATATCTACAAAGAATAATATTCGAGATAAGTCGAATCTGTTTCTGCAG